GACCAGTGCTCTAACCACTGAGCTATAGAGGCAATTGTTGCAACACCGCTGTTTACATTTTAAAATTTGGCACAATGACCACCCTCGATAAAAACTATAAAAACAACAAAGTGAATTACGTCTAGTGAATGTTGCATAAGCAGAGCGTCAAAAATGTTCAGACGTCCTGTGTTATTGTATCTCCAAAACGAACGTCCACAAGTATAAATCTCTCGTTATTTATTTATATTTCCCCACATGCCTATCATTAAGCTTCAAAATGAGACCAACCACGATCGAATCTGACTAAAGTTTTTAATATTTTTTTCATGAATAGATTATGGTGAGAAAAAAAAATACAGCCCCTAGTGAGATTTGAACTCACGACCCCTGGTTTACAAGACCAGTGCTCTAACCACTGAGCTATAGAGGCAATTGTTGCAACACCGCTGTTTACATTTTAAAATTTGGCACAATGACCACCCTCGATAAAAACTATAAAAACAACAAAGTGAATTACGTCTAGTGAATGTTGCATAAGCAGAGCGTCAAAAATGTTCAGACGTCCTGTGTTATTGTATCTCCAAAACGAACGTCCACAAGTATAAATCTCTCGTTATTTATTTATATTTCCCCACATGCCTATCATTAAGCTTCAAAATGAGACGAACCACGATCGAATCTGACTAAAGTTTTTAATATTTTTTTCATGAATAGTTTATGGTAAGAAAAAAAAAATACAGCCCCTAGTGAGATTTGAACTCACGACCCCTGGTTTACAAGACCAGTGCTCTAACCACTGAGCTATAGAGGCAATTGTTGCAACACCGCTGTTTACATTTGAAAATTTGGCACAATGACCACCATTGATAAAAACTATAAAAAACAACAACGTGAATTACGTCTAGTGAATGTTGCATAAGCAGAGCGTCAAAAATGTTCAGACGTCCTGTGTTATTGTATCTCCAAAACGAACGTCCACAAGTATAAATCTCTCGTTCTTTATTTATATTTCCCCACATGCCTATCATTAAGCTTCAAAATGAGACCAACCACGATCGAATCTGACTAAAGTTTTTAATATTTTTTTCATGGATATTTTATGGTGAGAAAAAAAAAATACAGCCCCTAGTGAGATTTGAACTCACGACCCCTGGTTTACAAGACCAGTGCTCTAACCACTGAGCTATAGAGGCAATTGTTGCAACACCGCTGTTTACATTTTAAAATTTGGCACAATGAACACCCTCGATAAACACTATAAAAACAACAAAGTGAATTACGTCTAGTGAATGTTGCATAAGCAGAGCGTCAAAAATGTTCAGACGTCCTGTGTTATTGTATCTCCAAAACGAACGTCCACAAGTATAAATCTCTCGTTATTTTTTTTTTATATTTTCCCACATAGGCCTATCATTAGGCTTCAAAATGAGACCAACCACGATCGAATCTGACTAAAGTTTTTAATATTTTTTTCATGAACAGTTTATGGTGAGAAAAAAAAATACAGCCCCTAGTGAGATTTGAACTCACGACCCCTGGTTTACAAGACCAGTGCTCTAACCACTGAGCTATAGAGGCAATTGTTGCTAACTACTTTTAAAAAAATGCGTTGATGTCTCTAAAGTACCGGGACAACATCTGTTACACTTGCTGCATGGATAGATATTAATTCCTGAATTTTGATAGACTTAAGCTATGTTTTCAGGTTAATTTGTTATTATTTTATTTGTTAGTATTTTGATCAAGTTTGAAGATAAAGTAAACAAATAGACACCTCATATCACACAAAGTATACATTGAACTAAACATATAGTCCGACCTACCATTATCAATGACAGTGACTGCTTGGTAATTGCATTACATTGGTTTCATTCGTATGCCACATGTCAAACCTGTATAGGCCTACTCCATTTTCTTTTTTCTTTTCTTTTTTTTTTTTTGTTTTGCAACAAAATCGGCAAACTTGAGCCAGGTGTAATTTATCTTTGTGTAAGCTTCGTTGCTTGCTGACCTTGCTTTGTGTTTGATGTTTTTACTTTTGTTTTAATGAAATGTTTCTCACTTTGTTATTTTATTTGCTGGTCTGCGGGGGACCAGGGATTTTATCCCTGAGCAGTCCCTCAGGATAAACAATAAAAGAAAGAAAAGAAATGTTCAACCTTCCCCGACATTTTGGCGACAGTAGAAGACCATCCGTTTCGGTCCCCTTTAGGACTTACTCTTATATTTTTTTTAATCTGTTGTTGATTTATCATACAGGCAACAACTGTAGAGAGAAGATGTTGATCAAAGTTGACAACCTTCTTAATTCTTGTCTCGTTGCCAAATTGGAATTTCGTAATATTTCATCTCCGAAGAAAAGCTGATGACGTCAACATTTAACATCGGCTAATGATTGGTCAATAGTTACGATTCGTTGCCGACAAGTCGGGAAAGTTAAACCTGGTTCAACTTTGCCGAATTTGTTGCAGAAGAATCGGGGTGCCTTCCCGATTGCGTCAGGCAGTTATGCTATCGATTGCTGCAGCGACAGTATGGAAGCCAAGGTGTATGCTGTGTAGCAATTGTGTATCGACAGTGTAGCGATTGTATGGAAACCAAGCTTATGCTGTCTAACGATTGCTGTAGCGACAGTGTAGAAATTGTATGGAAACCAAGCTTATACTGTGTAGCAATTGCTGTAGCAAAAGTAGCGATGGAAACCAAGGTTATGCTGTGTAAGCGATTGCTGTAGTGACAGTGAATTGTATGGAAATTGTCAGATACGCCTACGATGGTCCTACATAAAAACCTTGTGTTCTGAACCACAAATCTACGTTATTTTAACGTAAAATTATTTGTTGTGATCCTTCAGCAGACAACAGCGTAACTTGTGACTACATAGCAGTAAATATGGCTTGAACCGTTGACGCCCTCCAAAGTGATTTTATGTCTTAATAATGTTATGAAAATGGAGCAATTTGTGCTGTATAAAATCCAGATGAAGTTTTGAGATAAAATTGATGTTAAATAAAATATGATTTTATAACATAACTATCAGGTATCGAGTGGGGCTGTTTGTTTGAGTGTTCAAAATAGGTCTATGGAAAAAAGCAAATAAAATCAAATGATTATGTATTGACAGAGAAAGGAATACAGAATTTGTCCCGAAAAAATTGCGTTGTTTGTGTTGACTGAACATTTATGTTTCTAATGTACATAGGCATAGTCAGAAATGCTTCATTAATATCAACAATCATCGTTGTCGTCATTATTATCAGTCACCATCATCATCATCGTCGTCATCATAACAATTTTTAAAAAATCATTTGCAAGTAGACACGAATTCATAAAAACAAACACACATTGTTTCTTTATGGTGAGATATCACCTAGTATGTATTCAAAACACAAAACCTTCCACACAACATTACTTTAATCATTTCACACAATTCTTAAATATTCAACACAAACACTATACAATTTACAAGACAGTAGGTGATACAAGTATACAGGTCTACACTACATCAAAGAGATATGACATTTAAATAGATAGTCAACAATTGATATATACACGTTTAAAATCCTCTACTAGAGATTACAATGATGAAATTACCCCCACGGGCTCGATCGTTAATATGTGGGATTTTGAAAAGTATGACACTGGTTTTTTAAATGCTAAACACATCAAGTAGTTCTACTTCATGCGTCAAAGCATTTAAGACATTTTACTGCTAAATTCTACTAGCGAAATGTATAGGCCTACGCTGGGATATCAAGGTAACCAAAATAATATATATTGCCTAGTGTCCGATGATTTGTACAATGAAAATGTGATCTTAATTCATATTTTTTTTTCTGCCTATACCGTATAGTGTTTCAATATCCAATTCTTCAGTAAATAAAAACTGAAGAATAATATACCCAATGATGAACCGATTCTTTAGGCACTTTTTGCCTAGGCTAATGCCTATGTATATGCCTACATTTTAATGACTGGCAGATATGTACACACTATGCTTTAGAATTGAACATAAATAGTTATATATTCAAAACTGCACTCTTTTTCAGTATAACACTGTGGTTTTTATGAGATACATGGATTTTGGGGATTCAGATGAAAGACCATTTATTTTTATGGGCAAAATGAGAACAACACAGACGAAAATAATACTCTTGTCCTACATAAAGATCTACCGATTCAAACTAACCAATTCCCCCGGGTATATCATACAGCTGCATGAACTATTTAAATAGCCATTTATGTTTACAGCAGTTATTACATAACAGTAGGCGTCTTTTTTAAAAAAGGAGAATTGTCAATAAAATGACACCTCAAGAATTGCACTAATGGAGATTTACACATGCTATGAAAGAATAAAAGAGTAAAATTCAGAAAACAGTAAAAATAACTTAAGTACTAGCCGATGGTGGAGCGTAGTTATTTACACACCATAGAGCACCACTTCCTTACACTGTTACCACAGTTTTTTTCACTATGATTTGTGGACCAGTGTTGTTTCAATATACACATCTTAATACTGATTTTACTGCCTTTCCAAGAACATAAAAATCTCTGAAATCATTAAGTAAAAAAAGTAAAAAAAAAAACAAAAAAAAAAAACAGTAGTAGTTTGGTAAAGACGATGATGGTTATCATACAGATTTTTTTTTTTTTTTTTAAGGTTAACTAATATAGAAATATTGTAATATAGGGTAATGTACACATGCTAATTAAATATTCATGATCAGACCTATTACAGATTCATACAAAAAATTGTTTAAAAATATTTGTGTAGATTGCCAGAAAGGAAACCCAGTTCTTAACCCACACAATGTATCCAAGTTTAAAGATTGAATAAGTTAATAATTTGCAATTATACATTACTTGATACAAATAAATTAGTTTACCACTAATTTACAAAAACCTTTAACTACAAAAATCCGAACTTATTTATTTTTCACTTTAAGGTTCCATGCAAAAAAAAGTTACAAGAATAGCATTATTTATACTCACTTTAAATATACAAAGTAAGCATAAAATATGGATGTTTTAAAAGATTTAGACAGTTTATCTTTACATTACTTGATCTATAAAAGGTAAAGATATACTGTCCATTTCCTAACCAGTTAAACAATCTTTGGAATATCAATAAAATGACTACACTGCTGGTTTTGTAAAATCATAAATGTTGTGATTAAGATTAAAAGTAAGATTGAGGAAAAATAATTGTATTTTAAACTTTAAAAACAATACTGTATCTGCGATAAGAATTAAGTATATCACTTTCCTTATGGGCTGCCAATCAGAATCGAATACATTGTTTATATACTTAAAAACTTTAATGATCGTTTTAATTTATTTTTAACAATTCAAAACAACTCTTATGTTTTTGGTGATAATGAGATTTAACTTTTACAAAAGTCTGGTTGGAATCAATTTTATATTTTCGTTTTCACATTAACGTTCATAATACGTTAAGTACCAAAGGAGTAGAAACAATATTACAAGTAAAGAAAGCTTAAGCTTTCTTACAGCACCAAGTAAACAACAAATTTTAACATTATTTTATAAAGTAAAATAACAAAAGGATAATACAAAATTGGAGAACATATATATATATTGATTTCTATGCAAAATTGATTAAAATATAAATTAATACTTTTGTTTAAACTTAAAAAACACTGATTTGCACAATAATAAAAATGAAAATTCTATAATACTTAAGAATACATAATTGCAGGTTTTGATAACTATATGTTCATATTTCTTGATCTTTGCACACCGTGTTTCCGTGTTTGCACACTGCATTATCGTCTGTTCATTACTCATACTCAACACATTTATCATGTGTTCATTACACATTACAACATTGTGTTCATTAGGCTAACACATGTGATTTGATTTAGTTTTTTTTCATGTTTTTTTTATTACACACAATATATATCATGTTTTTTTTACACAACATATCTTATGTGTAAATTAAACACAGCAACACATATTATGTGTTCATTGTACATAGCAACATATACCACATGTGTCAATTACACAATTACAGATATTAACATATCGCAAGTGTTCAATACACATAAAACATGTTATATGTGTTCATTACACATGGCAACATAGATCACATGTGTTCATCACACATAGCTATAAATTCCACATGTTACTACGTGGAATTAACACACCATATACATACTGTAGCTGTACATATACAGTATTACATATGTTAATTCCACATAGCCACACATATTACCTGTATTCATTACACATAGCAACATATATATTGCATGTGTTAATTACAAATAGCCACACATATCTATTTGAAAAAAATGATGGCACGCAAGCATGGCACTACAGTAGAGAACCAAGTGATCAGTAATAAAAAAAAATCTAAAAGGCCTAAAACAGTTAAAATTTGGTATTATTTCTCATCCTATTTTTTCACATTGTGTGAAACATATTTTTCAAATTGTAAAACCAACTCTGTTATGGTCCCAATTGTTTCATTTGGTCCATTTTAATACAAGAAGGTAGTAACAATATTACAAGTAGAAATATAGGCAGTAGAAATTTTAACTTTGAAAAAAAAAAAAAAAAAAAAAGATTAATATAGAAGAACTATTCTTAGAGAACAGTAGGCCTAACTTCCCATGGTTGGTAGAATTAGTAGCGGATAGTAGTGGTAGTCAGTGGTGGTATTAGCAGGTGAAGTCATAAACCTGAACAAAATTCTACAGGAATGGAGATTCATGCTCACCACATGTTTCACATCTGAACCCTGACCGGAGGCCACACCTCAGTTCTGACCCTGTGTTGGACCTCCAGTCTGCAAACTTCTGGATCTATGACTAATAATAGCAGTACCATTAGTACACAAAATAGTAGTACTGCAGTAGTACTACTAGTAATGTAGTGGAGGTGGGGAAGGTCAGTAGTGTTGGTGGTTGTCGTATCAAAAAGAAGCAATGGGGCTATTAGATAGTATTATTATAGTAGTAGAAACAGACATACCAGAGTAGTAGTAGCACCAATACTAGTACAGTACTACTAAAAGTGTAGTAATATAAATAGCATCTTCAATCAATCTTCAATCATAGCAGTATTAGGGCAAAAGAACATCATTTATGCTCAATATTTCATTAGGCCTATCCCATTTGAAGCATTTACCAAAAATCAGTGCCACCCAGGCCATATATTTTAGCAAATATCTCCTAAAACTGTGCCACATTCATTAGCAATACTGTTCCCTTTTCTTTTTAATGTACTAAATCATGGTAAATATAACATAGCAACCAAGCAGCCATCCACAGCAACTCCTCCTTATCGCTTATCTTACACTACATCATTGCAGAACGTTCTTTTTACGGAATTGAATTTGTAATAATTGCTCATTCTGAACAATCTAAAATCTATAATTATCGGTTACAACAATACAAATATATTTTGAAAAATTATAAAATAGCACACATCTTAAACTTCTCCCGGGGGTCAAAGCAGCTTCATACATATTTAGATCTACTCGTAAAAAAATTACACAATTTGTTAAAAATTGAAATCATATATATTACATAAGTGGTTTATGGCACAATCAATGTTTGTATATATATTAACATTGTAAATCTAAAGACTATATAGAACATTCCTAAGGAATTAACAGTATCATCATTTAAGAAGTTGTATCTGGATATCCACTTTAAAACAATGACCAGGAATTTGAAGAACTTTAAGTAAATATTTTCAGAGATAATATTTAGCTGTCTGGGTAGTACATTTTTGTTTATCATGAATTGTTTGTACTCGTATTATATCGATTTGAATATCATCATTATTATTAAATCATCTTAGCCTACATGGAGTTACCCCCCTATTTTTATCACGTCTTACGACTAGGTTTCCATTGTTTTAGGGTTACGTAAATTTTTAAAAAAGGAAGCAAAAACTACATTTGAGATATACATATAAAAAATGGTCCTATTCATTCTTTAAAATTACTTCATCATCTTTCATACATTGGTATGATACCAGTAAAAAACTACCTCATTAAAATGGTAAACACAATATGGGTTATCTAAAATTTTAAAATCTATACAAAATCACAGCATGGACAAAATTAATCGCATTATTTGTACATGAGAGCTGAATTGCAAAAATCTCTAAATTCTGATCACAGTTAATGTTGAACTTCCTACCATATCTGCACTTTACCAACCGAGTTGTTACTCTATATAATACAAACACAAAAGACTACTGATTTTAAATTAAATTATGTATAAATCTGGTATAAAAAATTTGAAAGAATTTAGACTTAAATATAGTTGAATATTAGACAAGTGTCAAATATATAGGGACTCACAAAGACCTTAATTAGTAGAGCTAACAATAAATAAAAAAATAAAATTAGATATGAAATTACTTATTTTTATCTACAAAGGTTTTTTTTTTTTATGAGGAAACTTATTAAAATTTGCTGGTCTATTGAAATAAACCTTGATCACATTAGAGTCAATTTCATCAGCTGTAATGGTTCATTTCTTTTCAATGTTTGAATTCCTAATCATTATCAACATTGAACATATGTATGTTTTTAACATTAAATAATTTACATTGTGTACATAAAAATGTACAGAGGTTGTATACACACTGACAGAACAACCCAATCCCTATTAAAAATACCTGGCTCATTTTAAAAACCAATTATAAAACCATCTGGTCAAAGTATAAAATTTTGATTTTCTACATACTTTGTAGACATTATAAATATCAATTTATGTTTAATGATTTAATAAAAGAAATGAATCCAATTCCTCAAAGGTATACCAGCTGTCTGAAGGTTTAAAATTCTGAAAAATAAGACATTGAAAATCTCATTCAAATGATTAACTAAGTTATTAATTTCAAATATGAAATAAAAAAACGTTTTTTTGCTGATTTGCAGAAGTTTTACTATGAAAATCTTCAAATTGATAATTAGCTAATTTAAGGTTTTAGGCAAATAATATACAAATTATTAATGCATCCGATAATTGGCAAGGGCATTTTGTTTTCTTGATATGGTCCATTAAATATTAATAACTTACCTAAAATAAAGAAATATAGAAATATAATTAATATCATTTTTCAGCTCATGCAGACCTTTTAAGACATTAAACAAATTTAGTTCTTCTGTAATTCTGAAACTTTGTGACTGTCTCTAAAACACTAGTTGAGTTCAAAAAAGCTATCTTCAAAAATTTTACAAATATAACCATCTGACTACAAGGAAATGTATAAAATTTACTAACAACAATCTCATTACTCTACACTTTGAATATCTGGGTTTCAGCGAGTATCCTATCAATAGGAATATTAAACATAAATAAATAAATATTATTAATATTATTGTTAAAAATCTTATCTATCTTACAACTGCACCTGAAGATCTCGCCATAATCTTGAAAAATTTATGCGAAATCCTTGATTGCATCTTCTAGAACACTTTGCACCTTCAACTTCCATATTTTGGCAAATACAACTAAAAATTGTATTTTATATAAATAAATTAAGTCTTGATAGCATTAGACGGAAAATTATTACCAATTAAGAGGATTAATGGAGCATTATTTGAATTGTTCATTTTTTTCTTTTTTGGTGAGATTTGGTCATCATAATATCCACAACATTTTCTAAATTGTTGTACAAGGTGGATACAAATAAATAATGAGTATAAATAAAACTGTAAAACCTACAAAATCAAGGTGATATTCCAGTTGTCCAAATAAAAATTAAGCTTGGAAACATACCATACGAGATAAGCATTCAAGTACATAATACACAGTTGGTTTACATCGGCATGTAAACGAACATGTTAGGTATTTTTAGACTATCTGGACCAATTGTTCATTTTTTAAAAGGGAATCACATTAAGTTTTACATATAAAATCTTTACCTTCAACGGTATCTGGTTAATAGTATGGTCATCTACACATACATATTACAAACCTATGCTGTTCAATTTTGAACGATGCTATATATACGCTATTAAGTCGCAACTATGTAATGATGATTTAGAGGCAGTTTACAAGCATGTACCATGCAGAATTTTAGTGTCCCAAGGGCTGACTAACGGAGCAATTGATTAGCCAATGCAATTACAGGCTAATCACAAGTTTCATCTAAGTTAATACCCTACAAGAAATATCATTTCAGTCATGTTTTCATTTAAAAATCACAGTTGCACCTATATAGTCACAATTCGTGTGACAATTTCAAAATGTGTTTTAAAGGTTTTTGTATCCGGAGCAACTTTTATCATATTTTTTAAGAACCCTTGTTTGTGGGAATCATTTTAAAGCATCCCTTTGTACAAAGCAGACCAATTCGCTCCAAAAAGTTTGACTTGAGCACCAGGCTTACAACCATAAATGACTTTGTTTACAAACTGTGAACCTTAAATACCGTACAATATACTTACAGCCTTATTACAATTAAAGTTAGAATCAAATACCAGACGGCTCAGATTTTAACTTTTTTATGGTATTTTTTAAGGCTTGTCGTTTGTTGCAGAACCACACACGAATTACCTCTCTGTCGTACCCAAGTTTTCCCGAGAGTTCGGTCATGTCCTGCCCTGACGGGTGGGTGTTTTTCTCGAAATGTGAATTGAGATACTCCAAGGCCTGTGGTGTGAATGACGTTCGGCGTTTCCGCTTCTTTGTTGACTCGCTGCCGATGAAGTCGGTCAACTGTGACACACCATTCTTATGGCGCTCTTCTGCCTCTTCCATCCATCGCTCGAGTACCGGTTTGATTTTTTGGGCACTTTTAGGTGTAATGTCCAATTTTTCAAACCTGAATTAAAGTAAATTTAAATAATTTGATGATCAGAAAAATAAGATGCAGTGTACTATCTACTGGTACTGGTACGGGCATTTATAATGCGCCTCTTCCTTGCAGTTATAAAGCGCAGTTCCTTTCCCTGGTCATTGGGTCCACATGCTAAGTGTTGCTGCTTGGTAATCAGCGCAGGAGCAGGCCACCCCACCAGGTACCCATTTATACTCCTGGGTGGAGAGAAGCAATGCAGATAAAGTGTCTTGCTCAAGGACACAAGCGAAATGCACAGCGAGGGAATGAAACCCCGACCTTGAGGTTGGGATTCAACCAAACCGTTCCCGCTGCGCCAAACTGTACTATACATTTAGCTGGTAGAATGCAAATATTCGCTTACATCATTTTTATGCAGAACAGTATTAAGACACTAACTCTTACCTTAAATATACTGTAGGCAAATTTGAAGTTGTAGCCGGTTAAATTGACACTTTTTAAATAAAAAAAATAAAAGTTACCTGCAAATTGCACTTTGGCTATATGAAGGCCCTTCAGTTGCACTGAGTGCTTGCCCAACTTGTGTTTGTGTCAATCCCAGCGAAAGACGTCTTATCTTGAACTGCTTAGCAAATTCCTTTATCTCCTCCAGGTTGATGCCATCTACTTCTGTTGTATTTCCAAGACTACTTACTATACAGCAATGAAAACAAAACATGCCATATTTACCATGTGGATCTTAAATATGTAATGTAGTTGGAATTATATGGCGCTTTATACCCAAGTCCTAAAACAGTCGAGGTGTGGACTAGCTCTTGCAATAGCTTCCCTCTCCTCTTAATGGTCACTTCATGTCTGAACTAATCGGTAAACCGGTACCAGCCTGTTTGGACTAGTACACCAGGGTAACCTCTTACTTGTCTTGAAAGATGTACTGGGTTCTTTAAAATGCACATGTGCGAAATTGTACACCAGGCCTATGGTTTATAGTCCTGGTCCGAAAAGACTTGTTCCACCACTAGAGCATACTGTTCTAACCAGCGCTGATATTATGGCGGTACGTTGCATGCCCCTGCCTTTAATAACCTTTGCCATTTGAATAAACCTCTCTTATATTTGACTCACCTAATAATAAGATACCTACAACACCAAACCTTACTACACCTGTAAACTTTAGAGCACAACAGTTTAAGCCATCCCTACATTAATGCTATCAAAAATGTATCCATTGATCAACAATTATCTTTAAAACTTTGGATGGAATAAACTACTGTATTATTATTATTCCTCTTTTGAGATCACAATTTAAAATCATCATGCCCATCAATAAAATCAAATAATGAATAAAAAATAAAGGTATGTAAAGCTAAATATATTAATACCTCAAATTTTGGTATTTTTGTAGAGTAAAATCAGACTTAAGAAAAATGTGTGGATCAACAGCTTCTCATTCTGATGTAACAAAAATCCTTTCTAATGGCAGCATGCATACATTTGTAACCAATTTGATTTTGAGTGAAACTTACCTGCTAAATTTCCTAACGGGTTTGATGAAGGAGATGCCACTGAAGTTTGCCCGAGTATTCCTCCTTGACTTACGACCGTTCCTTGACTCGTAATTAGCTGACCCCCAACCATTTGACCTGCAATAAGTTGACCTCCAACTCCAATCTGACTGGGTAGTCCGTGAACAGAGGCGAGGTTGTTGGTTAGGCCTGCAGGCAGAGATTGGCTTACTCCTACTTGGCTGTTTAAACTTGGCAGGATGTGAGTTGAAAGTCCTGCATTTGCTAATGCTTGACTCGTTAACGTGTGATTGGATGTGACGTGTACGGGAGAATCATGACCTTTGACACCATTTGTTGTGATGCTCGGAGTTGTGATAGAGGTAGTTGTGACGGTGGTTGTTGGCGGGGTCTTCAGAACTGTCGTTGCATTGGGTAAGCTGGTCGTTTTTGTTGGCATCTGCACATGTACCTCATTCTTGATGGAAACAGGGAGTGATGGGAGCCCTCGTGTGGCCACAGCATAAGATGTTAGACTCAGTGGAGATGTTGGGGCTGAGGTTGTAACTTGTGAAGATTTAGGAGAGGCTAGCCGTGCTAATCCAGCCATAGCTGCTAAAGTAAAATGATAAATAAAATAATTTCTTTAAAATGTATATTCCAAATATTTGTTTAAATAACTGAACTTTTAATCGAATATATTTTGACAGCTGATCACATTGAAAAACATTGAAAACAACATTTGATAGCGATATCATCTACTGTGCTTGATTTATGTAAATTCTTGTTTTTATGCAGAATATGTAGAGCCATACTACCATCCACATAGCAATCCTAAACCATGGTGATTGTGGATATTGACACAATCAGATCAGATTTGAGCATTAATGACTTAACAGCACATATAAAATTAGGTCGCAATAAATTCCAGGTCGCATATTAGAAGTTTTATAGCCCTTATTATTAGTCACATTAATGATTCACCTTCAAGTGAAATTGGAAATATTATAATTAACTTTTTGTTTACCTGATCCTGTTATTCCTTGCATGCCGACTGAGTTGAAGGAAGGAGACATGGTCAGCACTTGACCATTGGCATTCATTAACATTTGCGTCATTGGGGCTGGCATAGGAAGACCAGCCTGGCTAGCTAAGACAGACATGGGCGGTAACGGTGTATTAGCCGGTAGCGTTCCCATCGAGGTGAAGTTGACCATCGACGGGAGCGATGTATGGGATTTTGAAGTGGATGTCGTCCTATGAAGCGGACTTGTTGTGCTTGTTGTCGTATGCGATGCCGTATGTGATGCCAATGCCTGATTTGCCATCACCTGATTGGCTAATTGAGCGGCTGCTTGGATCTGGTTGGCAGCAATCTGACTCGCAGTGATAGGGTTAGTTGCTGCTAATTGACTAGCTTGACCGGTAAGTGCTTGTAGTCCAGCCAGATTACTTGTCAGTAACTGACCAGCAGATGTTGGAATGAGAAACTGGACACCACCTTGACCTTGGGCCAGTGTAACTGGGATTGATATAAGCTGCTGCTGACCTGCAGAGTTTGTAATAGGCAATAGAATCTGTTGCTGACCGGTAGCTGGACTGGACGGAATGGTCAAGAGCTGCTGAGCACCAGCAAACTGGGGAAGAGAAATAAATGGTCTGTTAACAAGAGTCCATTAATTGATGCCAACAAGTCCTGATGACATGTACGATATAGTTCAATTTATACAACACTACTACCAGCATCTCTTAAATTTCTTATGAAAATGGAAAAGTTACAGAATACATAATTACAAGCAAGTTTATTGTGATACTAACGTTTGACATAATAAACAGTAGCAGTAACATTCCTAGGAATGAATATTTGTTACTGTTTACTGTACTTTACTGCAGTCTATCATGAACAAATTTACATAGAGTACATATATAAATAATTAATTGAACTTATTAATATTCATTTGTGTTAAAAATAATTAATTGGACTTGTTAATTAATATTTATGAGTAGGTATGTTAATTTTAGAAGAACATTGCTAATGGTGGCATAAGGATAGAGGTTCGGTTAAGGCCCTACGAATTGCGATAAAAACAAATTTTTGAGCAAAGGAGCTTCTGATCTTCAAAATTTGAAAACCTAGACTCGATTGAACCTTTGAATGTTTACATAACTTGAATTGGATGTACGTTTTGATAAGGTTTGTGACAAGAAACAGAAGAGGATAAGCGCGCCAGCTGAACAAACTGGCTGGAATTACAATATCAATTTTGATAAGGATCAAGTCAAGATATAAAGATGCACTGGGGCAGATGACAATTTAGAGAAAAACAAAAATTATCTGTGCAGAGGACTTACTGTAAAATCCTAAGTAATATTATTATATTGTATAGTTTTATAGATAGGCACTTGCTCAAAAAAGCTATGTTAAACTTTAGCTGTCGCATTTTTGAAAAATACTGGTAACACATAATTTAATACAGAAATTAAAATAGTGCCTTTTTAGAGACAAGACATTTATTCTAGTATGTTTTATGAACTTACTACACTTTAAAGAACAAAAAAAAAAAAAAACAATTAGCTCAATCGCCGCCATAAACAATCTAAAGTTTTTATTCATTTTTACTATGCCCGCCGCTGCCTTGAAATCTCCAAAAATAAGATATGTATATTTCTTCCTATTATATAAATTAAAAGCATTTACACTGTTTACATTCAATAATAAAATTTGATTTTTACTTTCTCCTCCATCTGGATGTTTTAGGAAAGAAACACAATTTGCTAAATGAGACAAGAGGAAATTTTATTTTTATTTTTTTTCCACCCTCATCTGACGATCTTTAAAAAACCTGTTTGTTAATCAAGGTATAAAAAAAGTATTTTACTGTATTTGCTAATGTCGTATCGTTAGTTATTTGTTGATGGTATTTATTAATTACTGTTTAATTTACTTATTTGTCATAAAAAATAGAATTGGCGTACATATAAAATGTACAGGCAATTGAAGAAGCCTAATAACCAGCATAACTGGTTACTACAGAACCCTTAAAACCAATCAACTTTGTATAAATCATATGATACTTCACAGGATTCAATGCAGTATTATAACTTCAGGTGTTTTCTTCACCTGAATATCAATTCCAGATGTTTGCATAGTAAATTCCAAAAAAAAGCATAAATTAATACAGTAATGCATTAACATCCAGAGGCTTATGTACTTTTAAAAATATATAAATTAATACAGCAAGGCATTAATATCCAGAGGCCTGTGTACTAACCTGTGGATTACTTAACAAGGTCTGGGCTGAAGGAAGGTCTTATACACATCTAGATGTGTATAAGAGACAGCATATATACACATACATATACATATATTTTCAACACTGCCATTTTGCAGGTTTCTATTGTATTATTTGAATAACTAACTAGTGTTCCTTTGTTACCTTGGAATGGAAACTTGGTGGGGGTGGGTGTGGATGTCGGGCTCCTATGGGTATTTGAATTTTGAGCTAGATTCTGCATGGCCATCAGTATGTGGTCCGATGCACTTTGTGATTTGGCATTGGCCATATTCAGTGGGAGTGAAGTCTGTCTTGGTGAGAGAACCTGTAAGTACATGAACAAAAGAAAACATTTTAATTAACTTAATTACATACAGTATAAATCATTTTGTCTGTCACCCTGATTGTCGAAAATAATGCACACTTTAATATTGAGATGTGGTTTTCCAGATCAGTCGATTGCCATCCAATTCATAGGTTGTAAGTTTGATCCCAGCAAACAGAATTCTTATTTCATAACTATAGTACTAGTTACAGATACAGATTAATTTTTATTGTCTAATAATTTGGAAATTACATTGCTCACTTGCTATAATTAATTAATTAATTATCTTCTTGAATACTTCACTTTAATTAATTCTTGTAATGGTCCGTGTACGCACCCACTGTCCTCATTCTACTACTTCTGCCTATGCAGGATCCTATCATATACGCGTAGAGCGGATGGCTGTTATCCTAAGATATTTTTAAAAACAATGGCAAGCCATTCCAGTGACTGCACAGGCGAACCAATAACTTTCCCCACTCTACCCAGCACCCTTTCTATTCTCTCTTTATCCCCTTCCTTTACTAATATTCCCAGCCCACCCCAACATACAATACCGCCAAACAGAAAACATCACCGATATGTAGAACATCAAACATATGTCCTGCTTAACCCCAAAAGAACCTAGTTTTCTAAGACAGTAGAGTCTATTATTTAATTTCTTAACTACAACATAATCAGTATGATCCCTCAACAAAGTTTATTGTCAAACACCACCCCAAGATACTTATAGGAATCTACAATCTCCACTTCTTGACCATTAATATTTACTTTATATGGAACAGTTCTGTTATTCTTCCTCAAATCAATGTGCATTTCTTTTTGTTTGAAAAATAAAAGTAGAGCTTTATTGTTAAAGGTCTCACCTATCTACAAGTTCAATCATAAATAATAATGCCAGGATTGTTCTTACAAAAAGGTTAATAGTATAGAGTATATAATTAAATTAAAAAAATAATAAAAGCAATTCCATCTTGTCCCATGGTCCTAACTTCAATCTCAATAATAATGTCAGAATATTTCTGATGTTTTAAAAAGTAAAAAAATACCAAACGTCATTAAGAGAATGTATACGTCAACTGTCCTAATGTACACCTCACCTCTACCGGATGGATCATTCATCATTAATTGAAGCGCAAAATAATCCTACGCATTTATGTTTTAAAGTAGTTTTATATACTTGAAAATTTAATAGTCTGTCATTTGGCATGCTGCATGTTAGAGTATGGCATCGCCTTTTCGCAGGAAATGTAAACCCTTCCCTCGAACAGTAGGGTTTTTTTTTTGTATACGTCTGCAACGAGGAAATTTATCTCATTCTAAAATAAAAAGCTAATAACTTCCCAATAATTATATAGTTTAAATTTTGAAATATACTTCAGTTTATTAGCTTAATACAGGCATTAGAGTAATCTTCAAAATGCACTGTCTGGATGGTTTTCAGGAATTTCATTTGTTTCGATATAATTACCAGCACTGCATTATTTTCTGACAAGTTGTAGCCTATTTACGTCAAAGCAAAAGTAGCCTTGCTTTAAGGAGCTCTATTATGTGATGGCACAGCATTCTGCTTGACAGTTTACTAATAAAAAAAGTCAATAATTTACACAGAAAAAATGTGCTGTACTTCCATCCACCTGACACTGCTTGCTGTTTAAAGGACTGTGACATTATGAAAAAAAATGCATGCCTCGCCATACCATGTTATATATTACATATATTTGCTTTACTGTAATGTTGTAGGGCACGCTTCCAGCTATCGTTTCGATGGAAGACGTGCTTGCTTTGAGATTATGGAGAATGCGGCTGGTTGATTTTACTTCCATCTGTGTTGAGACAATACTAACGCAATTTATTCACAAGCAAGTTTTATTTTTTAGTTTCAGTTGAATATTTTCCTCACCAATCAACAAATGCATAATAATATTCTTTGCAAAAATGCCATTAATTTTAATTGGCATAGTATTAACAATTCAAAATAATCTAAAAATATTTTTTTTCTTTTTAATGTCTCATAGACGTTAATAAAACTGGATTAATTTTAATGTTTTAAATGTATTTGAGGATCTTTCATAATAAATCAGTCGTATATGGACCTGAACTATACTAACAATATTTCACCCAGAAGGTTAAAAAGTAAGGAATCAAAATAAACTAAATTACAGTCTAAAAATGTATTGTCCCCTGAATATGACAAAAAAAATCATACAAATTATTTTGAAATTAACTTGGTCATTTTGAACATAAAAATTATCAACTTGAACATAGAAATTAGTGAAAAATGTTTACTCATATTTTACAGTGAAAAATGTAGAAAAACTTCCAGCCACTTGAACTGTGTTTTTTTATTATTTTTATCATTAATATCACTGTAAAAAATTTAGGGTAAATATTTTTTATTGCTTATATTCAATAATTTCTGTTAATTTCAAAAAAGATTTTTATGATATTTTTTGGTATATTTCATTGGACAAATAAATCTTTAATGAATTAATAACTAAAATAAAAACTAATAAATTATCAATTGGTTATCCACGATAGAATTTTATATTGACTCGGTATCTTTCTGTATTATTCTCAAGCGAAAATACTACATTCTCATTCATTCATTCTGTAAGTTTTACAGTTGTAATTTTGATGTAATATTTCTAAATATTGGTTTTAGCAAAAGATCAGACTGCCACATTGAACTGTGACATAAATGCTTGGAGGAATTTCCAGCTAAGAATGTTTACACTTTACCTGGATGCTTTGTTGTTTATTGTGGTAGACCTTGTTTCTGTTTCTATTGACAAATATCAGTGTTTACTGTGTTCCTACACAGCAGGTTCTAATCTAGTATAATTCCAGTGATTTTTCATACTACAGTAGAACCCCCTCCTTCGGGAAACCCCTATTAAGGGGACACTTTCTTGGCAATAAAACAAAGGGAGGTATATCTTTTAACACGTCCTAAGGATGTCCCCTTAATAGGGGTTCTACGTATTGTACTTCTTACTTCATTGAGATGAATTTATAAAGCATCACAACTTTCTCTTGGAATTAACAGAAATTTTGGACAGTATCTTCTCCGTATGAATAACCAAATCTAGAATAAGTAATGGCTATCACTAAGTTTATAACAAAATGTTTGATGATGGGATAGGTCAATTTTTTTTTTCCCGAGCAGTCATGCACATGAACAACTAACTAAATGCTGCATTAACATGTCACCCTTCTTGGCTACCACTTGGATTAACGACGGGAATAATGACAAAGGAAACTAGCCTGGGTTACGGATGTGCCGGTGCTGGCGTGGTGCATGTTGATCGATGGTGTAGTCGCAGCACCTATTTGTGTCGGTGGTGAATGATGATTCGTTGACTTTCTGTCCATTCTTTGCTGTTGTCTAGTCCATCAGTGTTGCTGGTCCAGCCTAAAAAAAACACAACAAAATATATCTATAATATTGTTACGGTTCATATACACAATTCTAATTAGGAATTTTCAAAAGGGCACCCTCTATTTGTACCGCTATTGTTGGAGGCTTCTCGGGTCCATCTGCACTTATGCTGTGTCCATGTTGTGGTGCAAAATCTTTAGAATAGACTACGACATGAACATCCTGTTTTTGGGCTGCTGCTTAAAATGAAACAATTTTAAAACAGAAGAAGAAAAATTATTATCTTTGTACAGAACAAATTTTATATGCATTTAAACTTTGAAATGAGAGAGGGAGGTTGGCAGTTTGAAATGGTGGAAATACAATGATGAGATTGAGACAAAAAAAAAAAGCAAGAAAAAGAATCTCATATAGATTGTAACTCTAGTTCAATACTGTGATGGAAATATGAGGTTTGAAATAAATTATGATTCATGGGTTAAGATTTTGAATGCATGTTTTCTTTTTGAACATACCAGTCTAAACGTTACAGTATCAATACTATTATTATATTATTCTAAATTAAACGGAACAGGGTTTACACTATATCCCTCAGCACATATAACTGCTTCCCCATACTGCAAAATTTTCTACCTATAGAATACTAGTGTTTACATCAGGATACCACGTGATACTACTCCGTTGCAAAATGCATTCAACCAGATGCCAATTTCTCCACTGACAAACCATTTATCTCAATTTCGAACGTAATTATTAAGATGTTGTATATCAGTTTTTCTAATTGATGATTAAATGTGTGTTCGATAACTAATATAATGTGAGCTTTTGTGTTTTTAGTACATTTTGATGGTAAATATTAGATTTTAAAATGCCTATTCCAGATAGCCTATGAAGTCATTCAGTTGTAATGAACCGTAACCAATGTCTGGTTGGCAACGGAGGGCGCCACCTGGTGTTGTGACGACACGATTGTGGCACTCTTATTTGTTATATACTATTATGTTGACATTTTATAGTCTATAACATTTTTGAAAATCATCATGTTTAATATTAAACATTTGTTTACATACAGACCACATCGGAACAATATATTAGGATAAATTTTAAAAGTTATTCACACTATTGTTGTGAAATAAATATCTATAATGGTATGTGTACATTAATATTTAGTATTTACAACCCAATATTAGGAGACAAAACCCATAATTAATGCAAATATTCCTGGATATTACCACAAACTCTGCGCAATATTTATGATCCATTTACAGTATTCCAATTATAATGCTTTTATTTGATACTCAAGTTATTTACAACTTTCCAAAATACAGTAAATCTTTCAGCATATAAAAAGCGGCGTTGATAAAAAATAAGGTAAGACTTTCAATATTCCACTTTGAATTTGAATAAAATATTACAGTACTTTTGTGTTAATATTATTTGTTAATTTAATGGTTTTCATTATACTGTAAAAGTTTGAAAAATTTGTTTATCAGATTTTTAGTTTACATAACATTAAATGTTGCTTATTTAAATGGATCTGAATAAACACAGGTAATAGTGATAATAGGCATATTCATAAAAATAAACAAGATCTTTAAGACCAGATCTAAATAAAACAAAAAGGCAAGGTGAAAGTAATGATCATAAACAATTCATTTTTTGCCAATTTTATACTACTTTGTGGAAGCAAAATCTATTGTTACAAATATTAAGTGTATTCTATTAGCAAATTCTTCTTCTTTCAATTGAAATTTTAGATAACACTTAACACTTTCCTTAGAGGTTTAAATAGCAAATTAAATATTGAATTACTTTTTGTTCATCACACATTAATGGCTATAATAAGAAAAATTTCTTGATAAATATAAACAACAATAAACAACAAAATAAATTTAAAAATTTCAAGTTGACTTGTGAATGTGACAATAAAGTTTATCTTATCGAATTAGACTTTAAATCAAATCTTCAAATGTCTAGGCAAAATACAATACTACCTGTACAGTAGGTTTAAGACATATCTGCATGACTACAAAGGAAATATCAATTTACCATCAGTTGAACCAGCAACAAATCAGGGATTTTGAAAGTTCAGCAACATTAACAAGATATTTACATTTCTAAGCCATTCATCATAGTTTTTTTCCCAAATTCAATTTAATCTATACGACGGGGTTGTAATTCAGTGCTTGGTTAATTTTCCTTTCCACTATGAATATTCAAAGAGTTTTTATGCTGCATACGGTACTGTTGATAACAAGTTTCATGGAGTAAAAAACGTAGCATCATCCATCAAATGATTGGCAATTAGTTTGTGGTTCATTCTCTACACTAGGTTTTTAAATAAAAGTTAAATTAATAAATAAACTGCCAGGTGTTTTTCGTAACATTCTGGTTGTGTCTTGATGTTTTGCCGTTAATCATGGCACAAGCTCTGATGATGAGCTCAAATTCAAATTTATTTGAGCATAATTCAACACATTACATATAACAAAACAATAAACAATAAAAATATAATTTAGTAAAACATTTACAGCTCAGGAAAACAGAAAAAAAACAAAAAAACAAATCGATTTATTTCCGTTGGGGCTATTGAATAACAAAAAAATTCAATTGGAAATCGCTGAAAAAATATATTCATCTCAATAATTAATAGCAGCATAAATAAACCATTAATGTGTATTCTTTTGAAAATTTAAGCCCTTACCGTAAATTGGCTGGCAATGAATTTGCGGATTTCCTTGAAAATTTTGTTTATGCCTGAAAAATGATATGTTTTGGATCTGTTTCACATTGGTGATTGGCAACACATTTGATCCATTTAAATTAGCACAATTCAAAGTTTGAATTGAATTTTGGAGTATTTTTTCCAGATTTTATTATAGTATTTCTGATGCCAATGGATATAGAATTTTCCACTTTACAGCTAAACGAACAAAAAATATATTAGCTACAATATAGTACCATCAGAGAATAGCCTGGTTCACATCAAACTTTTATCTAGATATAGATCCACAACACTAGTTAAAAGTTCGACGTGAAGCAGTCAATTATACCTAGATAAAGGCTTAAGTCACTTATCGTTAAGTGACTTAACTTTACTAGAATAACGGTAAATTAACTTGCTAAACGGTAAAGTCGGCTCGGAGTACAAAGACACAATTACGTAACTTTGGCATCTAAGCCAGCGTTGTTGTGTTGTACAACAATTATCCTGTGGCTGGCAATAATGTACTCCAACAATGCTAACAGCAGCAGCAACGTAGTCTTATACCCTATTCAGACTACACTCTGTTGCGATTGGTTGCGATGTAATCGGTGGTAATCCAAAACTGATTACTCCCGATTGCAATCAACAAACACATTCAGACCAACAAAAACGAACTTTACATTCTAGGGCCTAGCCTCCAGTGGCTAGGCCTATGTTGACTGACCTCAGCCAAACAGTGCCTGTGGAATTCGTTGTGATTCGTTGCGATTGGATTCCGTGGTAATCGGGAGTAATAAAGATTGTAGCACCCAATCGCAACAGGTAACAATTGCGATATCGATTACATATTGACTACTATTGGTGAGCTTTCACACATGATTTTACTTTGCAATTGGGTGTCGCAATTGCTACAACCGATCGCAATGCGATGCTAGTCTGAATGGGGTTATTTGTCTGGTTTTCAGAAATTATTTGTAATATTATGGGTAAAAACCCAGCAAACATCCGTTTTTTACGAATAGTCGATATTACAAATGACCTTTGCTCTTTGCAACATCGACCAAGTAATAATGATAAAAAGTCCGATTGCGTACGTTTTTCAAAGTGATAATGTATATTTTTCTTAATAAAATCAGTTTTGTTGTATTTATTTACTGACAATTCAATAGTTTCAATTTCTGCTATAATAGTCGCCATTAATTAAGTTTCAACATAACTACCACCAACGCCAGTCGTTAAATTGAGCGCACATGTTTACGATGACGAAACAAAAAAGTGTGTTGAAGTCAGCAAACTTATTTGACACCGTGAAGCTAGATTTTTCACGAAGTGAATGTAAACAACACAATTCAGGGATCTAAAAACTGCAAAGAAAAAATATATACAGACGTTTTAATGAGAAATAAAACAATATTTTTTAAATGGGAGAATGTTAGCGATTAAAATAATTTGATTTTTATCGAAGGTAAATTTACAGTAGCTTGGGCCTAGAAATCTACTACTATTGCAGTAGACCACGCTACTGCACTGTCGATTGGTTCGTACTAGCTGGTCGCAATGGCAGAGGATAGCTAGGCTAGGTAGTGGAAACACCTGATCTATAGTAGTTTACGAATTTGTCAATTCTTTTTATAAATACTGTACCCCTTGATTCTGGAGTTTCGTAAAATACAGTAGACGTTATTAAATGAGCTTTTCCACCGTGTGACGTCGACGGCCTCGAAGCTGGCTGGCTGTTTATCCGGCTCTTATCTGGCATCAAACGCAACTAGGGAAAATCGTATCATATTTCAAGATTTAGATAAGTGGCTTAACTTCGATGTGAACCAGGCTAAAGTTTTTGGTTTGATTATCATCTACTGTAAAAAAAAAATGCACCTGCCTTTTAATCCCGGAGTCTTGGAATAAGGTTCGGTCAAACTTGCTAATTTTAACAGAGGTGGATTAGAATAATCTATTAACTGCAAAAAGCATGATGGTGTCAATAATGGAGGAGCCTACAGTACTGTACATTATTATGTGGGAGGAATTTTAATGATGAATTACTGTACATCCAATAATCATATGAAAGTAACTTTGGTATGGAGATACTGTACACTTTCACCAGTATTATGCAAATACCTAGAAAAAAATGAGTCCTAATGGGAAAATTTAAGGGTGTATACTAGAGTTCCTATATAGAGAGAGTTGTGACATGAGCCGCTACAGGGACTCCATATTGGGTCCTTTCACGCATGAATGAACACAACACCTATGTACAGTGTGGCGATTGCATAAATAACAGGCAATTGAAAAAAATAAATAAAACATTAATAAGAAAGTTTTA